ATGCTGGCAATGAACTCTACAGCGATTTCTAAGTTCGTCACCACTCATTCCTACATACATTTCTTGACAGGAGTTACATAATAGTACATAAATAAAGTTCTTTGTATTTCAATTCATGTCTGCTTTAATAACATAATCTACATTGATACTGTTGAAATGGAAGTTTGATGTTTTTTAAAACATATTGTTAAAACAATATTGTCACAGCATTTACATTTCTTATCATTGCATTTAGAAGTTTTATAGATTTTACCTTGGGGGTATAAATGCTGCTTTAGTTAAAAGCTCTTTTAAGTTAGGGGCCTGATGATTGGATGCAATTATGCAGGTGTCTTTTAAAACGTCCCTCATTTTATCAATGGAATCGAGCATAGCTATACTTGATGTGATTGACTGAAAAAAACTCTGGTAGTTTGGATTATATGTTTCTATGAAGGGGATGGAATTTTCTGGATTTATGTCTTGAGTTGTCCTAAGTGTTTGGATACTAATTGACTTGGCTTTGGTGATGCCATTGTTAATCACGCCCACTGGATAATTGCATTTAATCAATTCTCTTTCAGTTCACTGAGTCTTGTTTCACAGAGTTTTTCATCAACAACAATAGAGCAGATTCTTCGTGCAAGATTGTATGGCACATTTTTTTTTATATTACATTTTACATCAAATACTGTTGTCATATATATTTGAGGATGAATAAATTTTTGTACATGCACATTTGCCTTTTACATTTTCTTTTCACTCTCATATAATAGATGAAATAGAATTAGAAACTTGTAGTAACAGACATGCAGGAGTCTTTTTATTTCAAGAAATACTTGATATCTTGGAGAACACTTTCAGCTATCAGGCAAATTTCAATCAAATATCCTGATAGCCTAATTGATATATCAACGTTGATTCAATTTTCAAATTCAACCTAATTTCAACATAGTTTCAACGTTGACCGTCAACGTTGATTCAACATTGATTAAATGTTGATTTGCCCGCTGGGTATTTGTTTCACGATTCTCCTGCAAGAAGAGAGGACTATACTCAAAAGTTACAGGGAGCAGTGTTTTTCCATTGAAATTTTACAGCCACAGGTGGCTTGAGAATGTGCCTGTTTGTAACAGAGTACTTTCAGTGTGGCAAGATATGGAGAAATATGTCAAGGCAGCTAAGAGAGGAAAGGTGACCAAACCTGAAAATACATCATTTAGTGTTGTGAAGGAAGCTGTTAATGACAAGTTCATCAAGGCCAAAATGCAGTTTTTCAAATGTGTATCAGCCCACCTCTTGTCTCGTGGTCAAGCTTATGTTGAGAGGGTTTTTTCTATTAACAAAAAAGTATAGGTGGAAAACTTAAAGAAGGAAAACATAGAGGATAATCTATGACTATGTGAAATCTAAGGGCGGTATGCTGGAAGTGCTAACTACAAATGCTCTGCTTGTCTCTGCAGCTTCTTCAAGACAGAAATATGAACAGTATCTAGAAAGAGAGTGAGAAAAGAAGAGAACTAATGCTGAAAAGAGGAATATGAAAGACAGATGTGAAAAAATAAAAGAACTTAAGCACAAAATAAAAAGACTACAATCTGACATTGTTCTCTTATCTGTGACGATGTTGTGTCTTCTTATGCCACTGAACGCTGAATGCTTTTATGTTTGACTTATCCCAGTAAATACTGTGTTCTTTGTACGTGCATAAAGCACTCAGCCACAAAGGCGTAACACTATGACACTGTTGGCCGTCAAAAGGTATAGATTTTGTGTTTAAACTAAGTACTTTAAAAACATAAAAATGTTCAGGAAAAATTTAATTTCTAAATGCCATGCTTGCTGTCCGATTTCAAGCAGGCATACTTTATTTGTTAGTAGTTTGCTAAGAGATACTTCCAACCCAAAGATCATAAGATGTAATCAAGGCATGTCATATATAGCTTGAGATAAGAAAATTAATAATTAGCACTGGCTGTTTGTGGATCAGGGGGTAATTAAGGGATTGTCCATAACATCTTTGATAAGTTTAACTGTCTTAAATCAACTGACCAATGGAGTCGTGTTTAATCATAGTAATAACGTGTGGCCTTACAACTCCTCAGGTATAAAAAGTCCCAATTTTCAGTGTAGTTTCAACACTTCCAAAATGAACCAGAACAAGATCGGTATGTTCGTCAAGAAGACAGTGAACATCAAAGAGAAGATTCCAGCCTCCTGACTCTTCTCTCTGCCTGCATCCCCACAGAAGAGGCGGGTTAGGGGACCGCCACAGAGAAAGCTACCACCTGAAGAGAGCATGGAGCTCCCACGTGAAGATAGCATGGAAGTACTGAAGTGCAGATCAGACCCTGCTTGACACAAACAAGGCAAATACAAGTCCTACACCCTAGCCGAGAAACAAGAGATGTTAGACCTGGCTGAAATCCACAGAATCAGAAAGATATCCAAATCTCTGGGGATCATGCAATCCACAATCAGCACATGGAAAAAGAGCTCAATAAGGACTGTGTAGTTTCAACACTTCCAAAATGAACCAGAACAAGATCGATTATGTTTTTCAAGAACACAGTGAACATCAAAGAGATGATTCCAGCCTCCTGGCTGAACTTTTCTTTGCCTGCACGCCCAAAGAAGAGGCTAGTTAGGCAACCGCCACAGAGAAAGCTACCACCTGAAGAGAGTGTGGAGCTCCCACTTGAAAAGAGTATGGAAATCCTGAAGTATGGATTAGACCCTGCTTGACACAGCTAGTGCACATTCCTTCAAAACGAGGCAAATACAAGTCCTACACCCTAGCCGAGAAACAAGAGGCTGAAATCCACGAAATCAGCCAGACATCCAAATCTCTGGGAATCGCGCAATCCATTATCAGCACATGGAAAAAGTTAATATGGATGAGGAAATTAGTTGTTGGATTATATTTGTTTAAATCTTTAATTGAATTAACCTATGTCGCAGGTAATTTTGATTGAAAACTTAAGTGGTTTGATAAACTACGCAACCTAATAATGATATCCCCGTAAATATGGCTTCTTTAGAGCTCTTAAATACAGAAGCAGTTCACCAGCATAGCATTCCGTGGATTGCAACATACTGATCAAAATGCCACTAAGCGCATATATGCTCGCCAGCGTTATCTTGGTTTTACGAGAAAATGGAGTCAGCATACAGGATATCCAACGTCAGTTGGCTGACGAAAATGTGTCTTGCCACCGAAGCACAATATGCAGATTCCTGGAAAGATTCGAAGAGGGACACGTTCTTGCTGACCACCCAAGTTCAGGAAGAAGAGTTCAGTTCAGAGATGAACATAGGGACATAGTTAATCATGAGATGAGCAATAACCATGAAATGAACTCGATGCAATTAAGGGATGTATTGCAAGAGCGAACAGGTAAGAGATCTAAGTAACTTTCACTTTTTAGGTCGGCTTATGCCGTAAGTTGTACATGTACTATTTTAGCAATAATGAAATCAATTTGATGCATACAGTTCCGGTGTAACTTGACAGACAGTCATGATAGAGAGTCTGCTTCCAATATATTTGTACATTTACCGTGGATTGCAACATACTGATCAAAATGCCACTAAGCGCATATATGCTCGCCAGCGTTATCTTGGTTTTACGAGAAAATGGAGTCAGCATACAGGATATCCAACGTCAGTTGGCTGACGAAAATGTGTCTTGCCACCGAAGCACAATATACAGATTCCTGGAAAGATTCGAAGAGGGACACGTTCTTGCTGACCACCCGAGTTCAGGAAGAAGAGTTCAGTTCAGAGATGAACATAGGGACATAGTTAATCATGAGATGAGCAATAACCATGAAATGAACTCGATGCAATTAAGGGATGTATTGCAAGAGCGAACAGGTAAGAGATCTAAGTAACTTTCACTTTTTAGGTCGGCTTATGCCGTAAGTTGTACATGTACTATTTTAGCAATAATGAAATCAATTTGATGCATACAGTTCCGGTGTAACTTGACAGACAGTCATGATAGAGAGTCTGCTTCCAATATATTTGTACATTTACCGTGGATTGCAACATACTGATCAAAATGCCACTAAGCGCATATATGCTCGCCAGCGTTATCTTGGTTTTACGAGAAAATGGAGTCAGCATACAGGATATCCAACGTCAGTTGGCTGACGAAAATGTGTCTTGCCACCGAAGCACAATATACAGATTCCTGGAAAGATTCGAAGAGGGACACGTTCTTGCTGACCACCCGAGTTCAGGAAGAAGAGTTCAGTTCAGAGATGAACATAGGGACATAGTTAATCATGAGATGAGCAATAACCATGAAATGAACTCGATGCAATTAAGGGATGTATTGCAAGAGCGAACAGGTAAGAGATCTAAGTAACTTTCACTTTTTAGGTCGGCTTATGCCGTAAGTTGTACATGTACTATTTTAGCAATAATGAAATCAATTTGATGCATACAGTTCCGGTGTAACTTGACAGACAGTCATGATAGAGAGTCTGCTTCCAATATATTTGTACATTTACCGTGGATTGCAACATACTGATCAAAATGCCACTAAGCGCATATATGCTCGCCAGCGTTATCTTGGTTTTACGAGAAAATGGAGTCAGCATACAGGATATCCAACGTCAGTTGGCTGACGAAAATGTGTCTTGCCACCGAAGCACAATATACAGATTCCTGGAAAGATTCGAAGAGGGACACGTTCTTGCTGACCACCCGAGTTCAGGAAGAAGAGTTCAGTTCAGAGATGAACATAGGGACATAGTTAATCATGAGATGAGCAATAACCATGAAATGAACTCGATGCAATTAAGGGATGTATTGCAAGAGCGAACAGGTAAGAGATCTAAGTAACTTTCACTTTTTAGGTCGGCTTATGCCGTAAGTTGTACATGTACTATTTTAGCAATAATGAAATCAATTTGATGCATACAGTTCCGGTGTAACTTGACAGACAGTCATGATAGAGAGTCTGCTTCCAATATATTTGTACATTTACCGTGGATTGCAACATACTGATCAAAATGCCACTAAGCGCATATATGCTCGCCAGCGTTATCTTGGTTTTACGAGAAAATGGAGTCAGCATACAGGATATCCAACGTCAGTTGGCTGACGAAAATGTGTCTTGCCACCGAAGCACAATATACAGATTCCTGGAAAGATTCGAAGAGGGACACGTTCTTGCTGACCACCCGAGTTCAGGAAGAAGAGTTCAGTTCAGAGATGAACATAGGGACATAGTTAATCATGAGATGAGCAATAACCATGAAATGAACTCGATGCAATTAAGGGATGTATTGCAAGAGCGAACAGGTAAGAGATCTAAGTAACTTTCACTTTTTAGGTCGGCTTATGCCGTAAGTTGTACATGTACTATTTTAGCAATAATGAAATCAATTTGATGCATACAGTTCCGGTGTAACTTGACAGACAGTCATGATAGAGAGTCTGCTTCCAATATATTTGTACATTTACCGTGGATTGCAACATACTGATCAAAATGCCACTAAGCGCATATATGCTCGCCAGCGTTATCTTGGTTTTACGAGAAAATGGAGTCAGCATACAGGATATCCAACGTCAGTTGGCTGACGAAAATGTGTCTTGCCACCGAAGCACAATATACAGATTCCTGGAAAGATTCGAAGAGGGACACGTTCTTGCTGACCACCCGAGTTCAGGAANCGGTGTAACTTGACAGACAGTCTTGATAGAGAGTCTGCTTCCCATATATTTGTACATTTACCAGTAAGCCTTGCCTGAGATTTTGTCCCACTTAGATCACGCTAACCTGCCCCTTGTAACTAAATATAAGCAGACTTTCTGTTACACAGACTCTGTTTTGTTACAACTGGAAAGAAATAACAGCGGAGCGATCTACTTAATATTCATGCAGACATCGATTGATATCGTGATTTAATTACCCTTACCAGTAGGTAAACCACAACTATTTAAATAAAGAAATTGTTAATTGTGTTTCTTTCGCAAAGGGAAAGTAGTTTTATGAGGAGGTTCAGAAAGAAACTTGAATGGATAAAGACTAAGAAGGGTAGATTTCTGTCAACAGGCCATGGTAGTTGTGGACATGTTCAATGACGTGATCTTTACTGGTTTGTAGGACTTTATAACTTTTTAACACAAATTGTATAATTACATTCACATGTTAACTTGTAACATTTAATTTCAATACACAATCATTTAAGTTGCTAAAAGTCACTGGGCAGGGTTGGTGCACTAGTATACCCAGTACCAGTAGGTTTATAATATGCTACACATGGAATTATTAAAAATTATTTACTCTTTTTTTTTTTTTTCAGACGAGTGCACTGTTCAGATGGACTCTAATGGAAGGTACATTTTTCGAAGAGTGGTGCGAGATGCAGATGGTAATGACATCAGTGAGCCTCCTCCCTTACGACCGAGACCTAAACATCTATATAAAATTCATGTTTGGGCAGATAAGTTGCAAACCTGAGCACTGTTGTGAAAAGAGTGGTTGCTTTGAAAAGCTGAATGTCAGTAGAAAAAAAAAATTTACATTCACAAGAATAAAGCCTGTAAGAATTAATTTGGTCATGAAACTTTATTTGTGTACATTCTGTCATATGTAGAGCTACATTTTTGAGCATTTTTTTTTGTACAGTGATATTATTGTGTGTTTCAATCATGCTAAACAGCCCTACTGTTAACGAGGAACCAAGTTGAAACATATATGTTGTGGTATTTTGCAGGTACCGTATATCCAAGAGGGGAGCCACTGAAATTGCCCTATTCACTGGAACGATGGACAGCGTAAGGTATCAGGACATTTTAGAAGCTGCCCTTTTGCCATTCATCAGAGAGAGGTAAGGGCGAAATCGTGAATTAGGTAGCGCTATTTGACGACAGATGAACGCCGTTCACCTGTGCTATCTCACATCTGATCTCTCCATAACCAATGATCTTTTTACCGCTCATGTTTCAACAATATTTTAGCCCTGGCTTGCATTATTTTAGGTTCCCACTAGGATATCGATTTATGCGCTATTTGACGACAGCGGAATGCTGCTCACCTGTGCTATCTCACCACTGATCTCTCCATAACCAATGATTTTTGTATCATTTATATTCTGACGATATTCAAGCCATGGCTTGCATTCTTTTAGGTTCCCACAAGGACATCGATTCATGCAGGACAACGCACCAATGCATACCAGTCGAGCTACTATGCAATTTCTGAGGGAAAACGGCATCAACTGGTTCTGGACTCCACCGGAGAGTCTGTACCTCAACCCGATTGAACTCATGTGGGCAGAAATGAAATACTACATTCGGCACCGAGCGAAGCCCAAGACAAAAGATCAGCTGGCGGACGGAATTCAGGAATTTTGGTGCACTGTAGACCAAGGTAAGTGCATCAAATACATTGATCATATATTCAGAAGGTAATGCCCGAAGTGATACGCCATCAGATTCAGATGGATAAATATTTGGAATTTTGCAAAGAGATTTTTTAAAAATGAATGGTAAATGAATTTGAAACCATGTACTGAATAAAAGATTGGAACAAGTTAACTGAATGATTTTTCTTCTTTTCATAAGATAAACGGTGCCCTTGATACTCCTCTGCACTTCTTTTTCAGATGCCCCTCACTCAATCTAAGGTACCCTCCCCTTTACCCAAAAATAAATGAAATACTACACGAACGTAAGACCTCTTTTCAAACACAAAAAGAAGTTGTCACTATTTCTCTATGGTCATGGATCTCTATCAACTACCCAAAATGAAATGATCTTTGAAACTATTGCAAATTTTCTACTTGAAAACCTTGGCATCTTGGGTCTCTACTTGACCTAACTGATTTCATTTTATGATTTCATGTAATTTTCATTGTTATTAATGTAATCCATATTGTATCTAGTTGTGTTGTATATGTAAATTAGTTACGCTCCTTTTCTTCTCCCTTTTATTTTCTTTTTTTCTGTATTTAATTATTTCTGGTAACTTTTGTGTTCTAATACTGAAATCTTTGAAGTTATTATTATTATTATTATATATATATATTCTGTTGCATATATGTATCCATTTGTTTTATTTATTTACTTATTTAATTTTGTTTTACATGGAGAGCATCTAATGCCTTTAGCGCTTTGCCTCCATTTCTTCCCAATAGACATTGTTAAAAAAAAAAAGATGAACATTGATGATTTGGCTCCTTTATCTTGAAAAAATGCACGTGAGTAAAAAAAGTGAAAATATACAGATATTAGATCTAATCAATTATTTTCACACTTAGGGTTTTAATTTTGATCTTTTGAAAAGAACATAAAACATTCTGTCTACTCTGTTCCATTGGTTTATTACCCCTTTTATTAAACTGAAATGGGTATAACTAACAGCATTTAGAAATGACTTTTGCTTATTTATAAACTTATTGTACTTTTAGACAAACAAGAAATCAAACTGGCAGACCATGCCCTCCAGATGATTTTTCAGGGGGCACTGGCTTTAAATTCCCCATTGCTCATTTTGCATCTTCCAAGGGTTCCAGAGCTCTTGAGCCCTACTCTGTTTTTTGGCAAACAGTATCAAATTTACAAATTTCTAGAGCTTAACAGTAAGTTTAAATTTTTGGTCATTATTTAAAATTAAGCTTTGAAAATGTAGAAAAGGTTAAAACTGAAAAGAACAGCAGACAACTTTAAATTCTATGCAAGAGTTTTGAGATAGAAAGTTTTGCCACAGAACACATCTGTGAATCTCTACTGTTACGTAAAGATTAGTAATATACAGTTATGATAAAGCAATTTTTAAGTTCATTCTGGTAATCAGCCTCATTTACTCTTATGTGTATCTTATTGTTTTAACCCAGTGTTTTGATTTTTGAGAACATTGTTTCTTGTTTTGAGAATTGGGATGACTGTATTGTTTTATCAGATGGGGAAAAACACTGCGTTGGATTGACGCTTAGTATGCCATTCATGATATAAGGGTATGCACCTGCTGCAAAAGATATGACCGTTCATGATTATGAGTTGAGTATTTAAGTGACTAGTTGTAATAAGAAAGTTTTGAGAGTAGCAGTAATACATGTAGAAGAGAGATTCAAATGACCTGACAGAAAGTGATTGTAAACTTTGATGTCCTCTGAAGCAGAGGAAAAATAAATGAGAAGAATGTAATTGATATAACTGAGAAGTGACAGTAGTAGCCTGCTGTCACGGGTCTATCGGATTCTCAAATATCATTGGACGACAGCATGAAGTGAAGACGAGAAAGTTACCATCTTGGCACAATCGGCATTTCCTGTAATTGTTATCCCAACCATAACGTGTGCAAATGCTAAATAAAAATATTTTTTGTAAATAATTTGTATGACGCACATTAAAAGAGAAGAATAATATTTTCTTAATTCATAATGCTCTTCCGGGCACACACTTCAAGTTAATATTGGAGAGAATTTTCAAATAAATATCATTCTTATAATAAGCTTTCTATATGTAACGTTATGATATATGTTGAATTCTAATTTTTTTAAAACACGTAAATGAAATATTGATTTTGATGCATGTTGTTTCACCCACGTGACTAAAGTGCAGGAAACAACGTCCAAAATGGCCATATTTGTTATAAAAAACATCCCTGAACATTATGAAGAAATACATATAAGAACAATTTTGAACCCGCTTACAGGTGAGACTACTTAAAGCTCAAATATCAAAATTAGCAAAACAGTGCTACAATACTTCTAATGAAAGAATGAAAAAGTTAGAAAATAAACACAATAAATTTAATTTAATATTGTTTGTGCAGAGGGAATAAGTTTTTTATGAATACACTTCATTTGAAAATTTGAAAAAGTGGGCGCAAAAAGGGGAAAAGTCCTAGTTGTAGACGGATTCCGGTTTCAAAAACATAGCGCTGGAGACCCACGTGCAGAGCCAGAATCTGGACAAACTTTTTTGAAGAGCCCTAACATATCTTGGTGATAAACCCAAATGAGCCAGTGCACAATCACCCAGTGGACTCTTCCACCACACCAGTAATAAATGTACGTAGAAAAATATTTTATAGGAAAGTATGATTTATACTAAACTGCATGTGGTATTATACTTTACATCACTGTTTCTCCTTGTTATGTGCAAAATAGATAAAAATGTAGAACCAGCCATATTGTTTCGTATATCTGAATATGATTCTGGCACAGGTGAGGTAGCATTTTTCCTAATAATTATAAATAGTAATTTATTTTAATAATATATGGCACATTCCTTTTAATTTTTGGAGCTTAAAAAACTGATTGATAAATAATAATAATGCACTGTTCTAAAGATATATAAGTCTTATAAAGTCCCTATAGTTCCTTAACTACCTTGAGCTTCAGATCTGATACCTTTTTTTATTTCAGAAGAATGCTTGGAAAAGATTAAAAAGGTTGATTCATGTAAGTATAGGAGAATAAGATATAATAGGAAGAAATCTAATGATGAATTATTTGCTGGAGTCTAATGAATTTATTACTTTAACTATTTGATGAAGAAAAAAATTTTTGCAATGTTTTGCATTGTCTGAAACAATGCTTTGAAAGAAAGAAGTTGGCTCAATACAGTGTGTCAGGCATAAAAAGAAATTCACAAATCCCATGCGACACCACAAATTTGCAAATTTTACAGATACTCGGACTATTTTTGAAATTCACAATTTCTTAAAATTTAAACACATTTATTGAGTAGTAACAATACATAAAAGCAAGCTACTATATAGTTCTATTCTATATGCAGTAAAAGCACTATAAATGCTTTATAGAAATATTTTTTT